CCGCCCCCAGGCCCTAATTTGTTTGGGGTCGGGAGAGCGGAAGAGCCTCTATGGGCTGGATCAATACGCTTGGCAGGCCTGATCCAGCCCACTCCTGGATTAAGGTCTTAATTGCCTGGTCATGACACTGAAGCTAATGGGATCCCAGAGGTGGCATCACTGGCACCTCAACCCCTTCCTTGGGGCTGTGCCTACAATCAGTGTAGCCCCAACTTTACAAGAAGTTGTGTATTGAAAAGAGAATTCACATCTTGGAGACACAAGCTATTTTGTCTGCGGGATGTGCAACATAAATGTAACTCAAATGCCAGGAGACTACAAATTTCTTATAGTAGTTTTTGCTCAGAAAAAAATGTTAGCAATTATTCCGACTTCAATTAGGAGAAAGTGAATTTCCATGGATCCATTCTATCCACCTGTGCTCCAGTGCAGCAACTCCAAATGCTTTCCTGAAAAAGGTTCTATGTAGGGTCTTTTTAACCCTCTTCACTGTAATATCTTAGTAGCCATGGATTCAATGATGTGAGTAACGTCTATTGTGTGTGGTCATTCCCTGTGCCGTCCTCTCAGCAGAGGGAGGATAGCACGGGCAGTGTGTAGAAAGTTATTTTACTTTTTGTTTGTTTTTTACATAGAGTCTTGCACTTGGAATGGAAGCGGTGGGGTTCGTGATGGCTCTTAGGTCCTGTGAGAGTTCCTTTCACTCTCTGGCATCGGCCCTCCAGGAAACTCTATCTTGCACAGATGATCTTAAGGCCACGTCTCCACTTGCTGTGCTGGAGATCGCTCTTCTGGCATTCGATTTAGCAGGTCTAGTAAAGACCCACCAAATCAAACGCTGAGGGCACACCTACTTGGCACTGGTATTCCTTGCAGTTGTGAGGAGTGAGGGAAGTTGATGGGAGCATTTGCCCCTGTCGGCCTCCCATTGTGAAGATGGAGCCAAACTCTGCTTGAGGTTGTCGACTCCAGCTATGATAACATGTTATGATAACATGATTATGTTGCTGGAGTTGCGTACCTTAAGCTGACCTTCTGGGTCTAATATAGATCTGGCCTTACTCTTGCAATAGAAAGTCCCCATATGTCAGTAGAGCAAATTGATTCATCATGATCCTCATCAGAGAGTTCTACAGTCTTTTTGGCCCAGAACATGAACAGGTCTGATAAGCTTATAGTGACCCATGTTTCTGTGGGGTTACTCCACCACTTTCTGTACCAGATGCAGTTTCCTAAGGTGGATGGCTTCATGTCCAAAGCCTCATGGGAATTAGCAGCCATGTCACAGATTTCATAATAAATAAGATTTATTTGAAAAAAGTGGAGCCTCAAACCCTGCTGAGTTTCATGTATCGTACGTCAACTTTCAGTGTCTAATCCCAAACTTGACTGGATTCTGCATTCAAGGATGATATGGTAGGACAGAACTCTGCTGTCACTTTATTATATACACATGAACAAAGATCTAGGCTCATAGATCACTATTTCAATTAGCCTGCTAGGTGGTGCTATAGGCCATGCTGTAAGCTATTCATTCCATGAGAAATCACATTTTCATTTCGGTCTATAACAGGAAAATAAATAGATTTCTATAGAACCTGTTCCCCCATGCTCAAATCTACAATGTTCTGGATAAAGCCTCGCTGATTGATACTTTGTATCAGTTGAAATGTTGGTTCTTGTTAAAGAGTGAACTCCTTTGGGTCACCAACTTCAGTTTCTGGTGAAGCGTTTATGCCCATTTGTGGCTTCTTTGACTGTATGATCACCTAGGTAAGTATGGTTAGCTTAGTGATTCTTTAT